CAACGCAAGACCTAGCGTGTGTCAACAAATTTGTCACCTTTTAATCAGAAAGTATACAGCGTGTTTCAAAAGTAGCTTTACAACTTAAGGGCGAGATATTGGTGAACTGATAGGAGAAACATATAATTTCAGAACATAGAAATGTAGTCAAATACTTCAAGTTTTATGTCCATCGGATTTTTATGGTTCAATATGGCTTCCATTTGTTATGCGACAGACGTGCCATCTGTAGTCAATAACTTGCATCTCCGGTGTCACCTCAGCAACTAAGGCGGTAATTCGAGTTCGGAGTTCGGCCACATTTGCAGGTTAGGGTGGCACGTAAACTCGATCTTTAACAAATCCCCACAAGAAAAAATCTAAAGGTGTTAGATCCGGGGAACGAGGTGGCCATGCTATTGGTGCGGCCCGACCAATCCACCGACCTGGGAAACGGTTGTTGAGGTACTCGCGCACTTCTCCGAGATAATGAGGGGGTGCACCGTCTTGCTGGAAGTGAATGCGTCCTTCCTGGTCGTCTTCGTCAAGTTGAGGAATGAGGAACTGTTGGAACATGTCCAGATACACAATGTCGGTAATGGTCTTCTCCATGAAAAAGAAGGGGCCGTACGCTTTATCTTTGCTGAGGGCGCAAAACAAACTTTTGGACTGCCACGAACATGGTCCAGGAATGCACGTGGATTTTCAGTACCCCAAATCCATCAGTTGTGGGTGTTGACCTTACCAGTGACATGGAACGTGCTTTCGTCACTGAAAATTACTAAGTCCAAAAATCCTTCGTCGTCTTCGACCCTCCGCAAAATTTCCGTACTACAGTTTATGTGCATGAAACTTGATATGTTTGGCTAAATTTGTGCATTTAAAAATATTGCGCATTTCCTTTAAATAAATTTATATTCTCCTGCGATGTTGTAAAGCTACTTTTGAAACACGGTGTATTGTTTTTCTTTTTGATTAAAATAAGTAACTGGCTCTATAATCCCCAACATGAAAATTATTTTTGTCTGAATAGCAACAATGACGATGATATTCTAATAACAATAACAACAGTTCATTTTTATTGTTCTTAATAACAACAAAATATTAACAACACAAACAATAACAAGAATAATAGTACATTTTCATAAAAATTTAATAGACATCTGACTCACATGTAGATCATAAATCAACCATTATTTATCTGTTATTGGATGTAAAGAACGTTTAAGGAAATTCTGAAGGGAAACCAGCAACTAGTTCTCAGGAGTGTCTCATTGAAACTCAAAGTATTTTTGTTTTCTTTGACATGTAAACATGTAATGTGATGATACTTTAATAGAACTAGAACCCCCCCCTCTCAAAGTCGTTGCGACAAATGTCGAGAAACGATGGTTTCAAAACCTCACTTACACGAGGCGACCTGGATTCTCCAGGAAATGTAGAGCCACGAATACAGAAAGAAAAATTGTTGTATGTTGCTGATGAAGTAATTATGAAACTATACTTAGGCTAGTTCAACACCACCACGCAAATTTTGCTGTTTATATGTGGGCTGCAATAAATGCTTTTACTGAATATTGGTGTACAGTTGCATGTCATGTTTTGAACCGTGTAACAAGTATATAAATAGTTTAACATGGAATATTATTTATTGAACTATCATTCTTATTTTTATATTGTAATTAATGTTTTTTGGATGGACATCCATATTATTATCTGGAAGTTATACACGTAGCCTTTCTTGAAACAAAATAATATTGAGTTATATAATTATTTTAAGATAAATTCTTTCTGAATAATCAGAGCCTAATAAGTAGTTGTGTACTGAGACCAATTATTAGAGATAATGATCTTGAATTCTTGATTTTTAAAGGTAATTTTCAACAGTTGTTAATTATTTGGTAGAAATGTTTACTAACGAGTTGGGAAATGTTTTTCACATTCTCTTGTCTGCAGCTAAAGTAGTTTGTGATATGCATTGGTGGAAATATTTTCTATTATTATAGATACATTTCATTTGTGGAATTATACTAGCTGTAATAAGGCCTGTCACTGGGGCAAGGTTTCGAAAGTTTTGTCTGTTATTCTAGTGTGTCTCTGTTATATAGGGAGAATCGCATTCGAAGTAATCGGTTATTATTTGTTTATTTAACGACTCTGTCAGTAGCTCAGTCTGTATACTGTCGAATGATAAAGAATAATAACATTGTTAAAAACATGGAAGGAAGAGGCCATAGCTTAATTTAAGGTACAATAACGATATTTACATGGGACGGCTGAAGAGAATAACGAAAGTCGCCAGAAAAGATAACAAATCATCTGGCCTAAAATTGAACCCCAGAACTCCGGTATACAAAGCAGGAGCGTTAGACAATCGGCCGAGATGTTTTGTGAAGATTATAGAGAATAATTAACATTATTAGACAGTAGTTAAAAATTATTAGGTTATTTCCTGTTTATAACGCTCACATGAAAAAATAAACATATGGGTCCCGTTTTTATGCAGAATTACGCGCCACGTTAATAAATACTGGACTCATGATTGATTACGTACAGAACGTGTCGCTTCATTGTTTCGTTTGGAACAGCGTATCTTGACAGCGTTACAGCGTCTCTACAAGTTTCGCATCCGATCTGCCGTACATCAAGCGGTGATTTAGGAGGTATTTTCAAATAAAAATTGTCAGTTGTCAATTTCCAGTCGTTACAGAGCCATGGCGTTTGATAGATGTGGGGAGGAAAAGAAACGACAGTATTTATAAGATGATTTGTTTTTGCGTTTTATGGGATTCATCTTCGTAGCTGTAAAAATGTCTGCAACGGTTTTAGGTTCTCGTTCCAAAAAAGAGTTTACTTCCCGTTGAACCATTTCGGAGTGTTTTCTTATGTAAGCATCAGCTTCCATATTCCGATGTAACATTTACAATCTCGTGTGTGCTTCGATCCTGTTGGACATGTCTTTCATTATACCACGTAAAAGAAAATCAAGCAGAGTTAGAGGCGGGGATCTAGGTAGCTAACTTGTTGTACCACTACGGCCAACCCAACCTGAAAATACTCAAGTGAGCAGTAACTTGGCGCCCAGAATATAGCAACTGAGATTTGGTAATGGTAATATATTTAGCTGAAACCTTCACCAAAGTTGTCATCTATCAAAGTGCACACAAGTAGGGATATGTTGTTTGCACATCATAGCTCCACTACGGTAGGAAATGGGCCAATGTTTTATTAATATTTTTTACTCGAAATTAGCTCCCAAATAATAACCATAGTGTCGCAGACAGGTTGTGAAACACCTTGCAAAAAAGACTGTGAAGAGCTAATTTTTACTTCAGTACTTTAAAAAGACGGTAACTGATTCGAAAGTAGTGTAGACATTTCCGACATGGGTGCGAGATTATACACCCCTATCGATTTTCAATACTTAATAAACGTCGCAATAAATCGCACATATCTGAATGACATAGCCAAAAAACGTCGTGCCTAATTTCGTAGCTCTAAGGAGCCATTATATGTAAACGGCGTATTAAATTTTAGCCGCTTCAAGGCCACATATTGCGTTATTTAAGGTTCAAAATTTCAGTCTACTGGTTTTTGACGGAGTCTTCGTCATTCTAAGAGCAAAGATGCCAAAAGAATTTGTTAAAACCTTAGGCGACCATGGTGGCACGACCACAATATGTACGCACATAGCTGGGACATATTACACGGTGTAGCACCACCAGTTCATAGGCAGTTCTGGTTGTGACAGAGCTTTGAACGAGCTAGGCCAACTGGGGGAGACCCACTTCGCCACGCCACCAATAAAATAGAATTACCTAAAAGGGAGTAGGGAGACCACAGGCCCAACCCAACCGTTTTCCACTCTCTGTGGAGACAGGAATTGAATCGTGAACAAAATTATTTACTTGATATTTACAATCAAAATCATGATGCACCCACATCTCTTCACCTTTTTGCGACACACTCGGCTGTACAAGTATGCTGTTGTTTCTCCTGGGGTGCGAATTCCGCCGTTGCCAGTCGCTCCGCGTGCGACAGCTGCACCACGGCGCAGCTCGTTACGACATCAAACAGTTTATACAGCGAATACTTAAAGAATGCTGTACAGTTGTCGGGAAGGTTGACAGGAGTTCTTGTCGGGTGCAAATAGAACAGCGTTCTTTGTGATGCAAGGTGTCAATAATATGTTTACACGAGGGATTAAGAAAATTCGTTCCAGAATCGCAAAGATAAAATCGAATGTTTCTTTTGATGTGCTACTATAAATTACGAAAAAGTAAGGCAGGCATCTTTCTAAAGAGGCAGTTTTTATGTTTCCTTTGCCCATCGTGTCCTATATGAAACAAGCATTCCATGTATATAAAGCAATAGATCTCGCTGTTGAGTGGTTATTATTTCGGTTTTGCATTTATGAGGTCCCAGGTTCGAATTTCAGCCCAGAATCCGACTAAGCCAGCTGAGGTTATTAGTGATTTTCGTCTGTCCCCGTGATTTAATTCCATTTATATTTCCACCTTGTAGTTGATTAAAACTATAATGTGTTCCACATTTCAAGTAAGGACCCGGAATGAAAGCTTCATTTTAGTCACACGAGAGGCCGGTAAGTGCCATGTGGCGAGTGTAGATATCAATAGGCTATGTACAAATCAAAATGGAGCCGTAAACGGGATTGTGGTAGAGTTGGAACGTGCAATATTTTAGAAATACACGAAGAATCCTTTGTGTGAAAATGTGTAAATGAAATAATATTTTAAAAAAGGACAACAATTCTTTAAGCAGAAAATCATAATCAAGAATTAATTGTCAATGAGTTTCTGATTTCAAGAAAGGCACTAGTCACGTAGAAGTTACTTGAATTATAATAACATTAGATGTTTACGGATAATACGTTCAGCTGATGAACATGAATAAAATGTTGGAATCTAAGAGTACAGTAACAGTTGTCATTGCCTGTTAATGTCTAATTTTGTTGATGAACTGTTTATGACCTGGAACATCACGCGTTGGCTGTTTGTCAGAAAGATCCTGGTTAATCGCTGCAACGATGTTGATTACGTCTCCCTCAACATGGAGAGAGCAGCAGAGGAGGAGGAGGACGAGGAAGACAGGGAACACCATCTGAACGGACTGGGGGATGTTGAAGACATCGGGGTTGGCAGACCTTCACTACAGGAAGCGCAGAGGAAACGCAAACGCAAGAAGAGAAGAAAGAAGAAACTCGATGGTGAAGGCAGAGCGCGACGAGGAATGGGAGGGGGAGGTCTGGACGCCGATGACCTGCCAAAACGAGCCCGCTGGACCATTATTGCTACAGCATGTCTCCTTCTCCTCATGAGCGTCCTGCTAGTTGGCGTCACCCTCCGCATGGCGCCCATCATCGACGAGATGGGTGAGTCTGATCTTTCTTACTTTGTTGTGATTGTATTTGTCTGAGTAGCTGGCTTCATAATCATTACCAGAAGAAGACTAACATTACGCCCACCAATGCAGGCAAGCCTACACCAATCCATTCAGTATTATACTGCACCGATCTCGACATTTTACACTAACAGAATGTTGATATTCTGGTGCTGTGTTGCGCGTTCTCTGAATTATCTCGCTGATTAAATATAAAATATATTCTCAACAATTCCTCTATAAAATACCCTACTCATGAGATACAAAACGATACTTTAGGAGACTTGCTTTAATTTTATAATCGCAGGGTTATTCTGACCTAGTTACTTTCTAAGAGCTTGTTCTGCGTAATTATGCCAATAATTCCATTGCAATTCTCATAAAGATGTAAATTATTCGAAATGTAGCATTTCAGATGACAATATGGCATGATATACGTCTATACAACCATTCGAATATTTAAATAATTTTTGCGTGTTATAAAATATTTTTGAAATGATGATCTACGTTCAAAATAGCCATGGAATTGAAATACGCAAAATGCTCCCCTGGGTTCCAATGGATTTTCGAAAAGATACTAAAGTAGCATCGTGATTTAATAACCCTTGACAATTTCTGCGTGTGACGTAGTTAGCCCCGGCTTGGATGGAAAGTGTAACGTTGTTATCAGCTTTTAATTTTAATTCCAAATGGTGAAGTGTTTAGTTACAAGCTTTCAGCGGTTACAGTTAGGAATGCTGTGGTCATGGAACAGTGGTGTAAAAGGAATCAGCTGGCAGCGCCCTGCTTTCACGTGTCTGTGGGCCTATGCTCTTTCCAGGTAGATAGACACGACTGCCAAGAGATGGATTGGCAGAGGCGGACTGACAGTGTGTTCCATTGTTCCCCGAACCTTACTCCGTTACATTTCTTTTTGGGCGGTATAATAAGGAGACTGTCTACTCTTCACCCATCTCATCACCACGAAAATTAACCGACAAATTCAAAATTCGCAATTAAAATACTTGTTAATAGGTTAAAATGCAGATGTAAATTGTTTTGAATGAAACTTATTATAGTTTCGGCTTGTGTAGAATCTCCAATGTTGTTCGAATTAAAACGAGATTAGTGATAGTAAAAACTCTGAGATCTTTTGATTATTTTTAAGTAATATTACTTCAATATTTTTGTAATGATTGTGGACTCGCTTACATATAATTCTGCAAATCTTAACTCTCTTCTATTAATACTATTTAACTGTCAATTCCAAAGGTATGTTTCCAGACAAAGCCGAATCGTCTGACTCGTGTCATTCGACGGTTACGAAACACCGATTTTATCGTTAATATTTTCGACTTTCGGACGAAAGAGTAGTTGTTATAATTATGAAAACTATGTTATGATCACGGCCTACAAAGATCGTCGATTATTTTTTAATTTCCAAGTAGTACAAACAAAAGGAAATCATAAGAGATAAAGGCGTTGTATAAACAAATTTATTTAGAGTGTTTAAAGTTCTATTAATTTCCAATTACATCGTCACTTTAAACCGTTAAAGTGACTGTGAATAGCAAGTAGAGTTGTGGAGTATTAAAATAGGGTTTACAAACAGTTATTGTGCACTAAAGGGTTAATGGTAAACTCATTATTTGTTTAATAAAAGTGTTAAGTTCAGTAATAAATTGGTATTAATTTATTCCTTTCGTAGGCTCTGTGATATGCCAGTAACATTTTATTTCCGAAATTACTTTTTTATAATGTTCCAATGTTGTTTTGTTTTGTTGTACAATATCCATAAAATATAATACTAGTTTCTTCTGGTTGAATTGCCTTTTTCCACTGCTAATCTGAGAAAATAGGAATGTTGTAATCCGAGTCAATTCATCGCATTGGCAAGAGCCACCACAATAGATTGCTCTGGCGCACCACGGCCCCCCTCTAACTCCCAATTTATTCCTTTTTATTCCTGGAATAGTTGGTCACCTACATCACCGCACTTTTCTCCGCGCTCTTAATTGAAACCCCCTACCCCAGTCCCTAGCCGGAAACCCGCATTACTTCGGTGACGATAACTAAGCCATTGGCGTGGCGACAGAAGATGTTGATTAATCAGCCCAGAATATTGCATCACCTGAATCCATGACTTGATGGCATATCTCACATCTGCCATACGTGCTACATGCCTTTCCAATCTAACGATTTCTGTAATCATACTATCTGGCGAAGGTTACAAATTGTAAAGTTTCATTCTCCTATCATGTGTAGGCCTGTTTTAACGCAGTCAGCCTACCGTATTTAGAATCTTGAAATCAGAAGCAGGTGACCGGAAACGAGAGTTGTCGACATTCGAAAAATAAAAACGGAAAGCAGTGGAGAGTTTTGGCCACGAGCTGTTGCTGTAGTTCACTGGGTCACGCTGACCCTGGGGTTAGTACACGCACACCCCTCGGCGCGCTCGACCTGTGGAACGGCCTTCACTACCTGCTACCGGATTGAAGGAAGCAGCTCGATATTTCGAGGCCAGTCCATCTCATTGTTAGATTCGTGCGTTGATCCCAGTCTGGTTCCTCTTAAAAACGCCTTCATTCGTGTGAGTCAAGGCTTAACGTTTCGTTAAATCGTCGGCTATTACGAAAACAATTTACGTACCAATTTCTGCGACTAGAAACAAAACCAGCACACGGCCTTGATTTCCTTAGGGTATCAGGCTAAGTGTGTTTGTTTTTGTGTGTTGACTATTAGATTATAGAAAACATCGCTAGAACCAAGATTATAGAACACGTTAGTAATTAACATGGTAATGAACAGCGAATGATAAATGAAGTGGTTAATTTGAGGAAATTTATTCAGACGACAGAATTGTAAATATAAACACGCTCACTGCAGATACCCGGCAGAAACAATTGGGTGTAGTATTTGTGAATTTAAGGATACATCATGAGTCATTTCACGTACCGTTTCACCAAACTTCGAAACTGATCGCATATTGCTGTCTTCTGAAATTAGCATTACCTTATGGACACTAAACGTGTCTTAAAGTTAATGAATTCTTAAAGTAATGATTATGATTAACCTTTCTGCCCGAGAACATTGCCGAGTTGAAATGTAAATGCAAGTGTTATCGCCCTTGTATAAATGACGCGTTCCAATACTTCATCGTAAGTTTTCATTTTTATTTCGTGCAGGTTAAGATGCTCACGAGATTGAACATAGATAGATTTTAACGAGCTAAATTATTTGTCATTTACGTAGTTTCAACAGACAACAAAATAAATTTGAGCATAAAAGTTGGCAATAAAGTCTCATCAAAAGTAATGCAATGTTTTTAGATTACAGGTATCTAAGGTGTTGTGCCTGTATTAGTTCATAATTTAGACTGCTGTTAGGGTGATCAAATCAAGGATTTGCGGTACATGTACCACGCATGACAAAGAAGGGAAATGCGTAGAAAATTCTAGTCGGAGAAACTGATGGAAAGAGAGTACTTGAGACACCTAGATATAATCGAGTCGATAATATTAAAATGTATCAGAAACATAGAATGTTAGGATGCGGATAGGAGTCCTCAGGCTCAGGATAAGGACCACTGACAAGCTCTTGTAAACACAGTAACCAATACATGGCAACCACATGGTGGGGAAGTTCTTGACCAGCTGACCGGGTACTTGCTCCTCAGTAAAAACTTCGCTTCTCAGTTGTACACTGACGCAGTGGTTAAATGTGCTTCTAGGACCAAACTATTGGCACGTTGCGGATTTTCGACGACACGAGTTAGACAAGACAATGTAATGTAAATAGGACAGTTAACAGAATACTTAGCCCGCACATTGACGCCAGGATATTGATCTTACATCCCTAGAAATATTTTTGTGTGAAAGTAAAAAGATATTATGCAAAATATTATAAAATAAGCGACAAAGGAGACTTGTGAATATTGTCAAAATATTTCTTATAATGGATGCGAGCCACATAATGCCATGACGTGGTATCTATTAGAAGCTGATAGTTGATTAGCCAGTCAAGAGTATTTATTCCCTTATTACAGTCTACTTTTTTTGAGAGAAATGAAGCCAATCCACATTCTGCCGCACAATTTCTTAAAGATGTACATTAATTTTACCTTCCTATCTACGGTATCTGCCCAAGTGGTCCCTCGAACATCGTCAGCTTATGTTCTTCCCTTGCGAGGAGAGATCAAGTTTCATACCCGCAGAAAACTCGAATCTATAGTGCAGATTGCTGCCTTCTAGGTGTTACGCCGTGTGGTCTCGTGGGAATTCACCAATGATTCAGAGGTCATTATCATCAGGTTGATCCCAGAAGACATCTTCGTGAGAACCTAAAAATTCATGAGCTATTCACTTTACAGAGGTGGTCGCATAAACACTGCCAGTCCATGTAAATTGCCTTTCCGTGATGGACCAAGTTTTATACTCATACAAAATACTAGTTTGTCAGTTCAGTGAAGTGTCTCTTAGACACTTCCTTTCCTCATATACTGCCGGAATGACCAAGTTTCAGATCCACAAAAAACATAAGCCTGCCAATTTACAGATGGACTCATAACATTGCATTTCAAATTAACGTAATCGAATGTCCTATTGTAAGTGTCAAAAGCTGGAATATAAGACTAAGACTGAGTTTGAAGTCTGGTTAAAACTAATGAATGGGTCTACTAATGTAGTATTTCCGAAGTTAGTGAGTGCCTATTATTAAGCGTTAAATAAGATCGGCAAGTTTCTATGTTTTCCTTATTCCTTTAGGGATCTTCCCCAGATATTTACACCAACTGTGCGTATGAGAATAAGAATTTTAAAAGTATGAGGACGTGTGTGATTATCGAAAAGGGAATTTAAAACTTTAGAAATAATATGCGAAGGCTAAAGCGACGAAGAACGACGCACAATTTAACAAAAGATATCTGGATTTTAGAACAGGCGACAGATCACTGGTTCACTGATAATAATGTCTTATAACGTTGTCACTAGTATCAGGAAAAATACAAATAATTTA